TTTACAGAGAGGAAGGGAGAGGGATAGAGAGTTAGAAACATCAATGAGAGAGAAACATCGATCAGCTGCCTCTTTCACGCCCCCTACTGGGGATGTGCCCGCAACCAAGGTACATGCCCTTGACCAGAATCAAACCTGGGACCCTTGAGTCCGCAGGCTGACACTCTATCCACTGAGCCAAACCGGTTAGGGCGTGAGCTGTGAGTTTTGTTACCAAAGATCAAAATTCATTTTCCCTTCAGATGGCCCGAGTATTTATCTTCCTAAGTAACTTTTGAACATGATGTGGCTCTGCAGCGTAAAATTGGGTGACCCTGCTCAATTTCCGTCATCGCCACTTTTCAGATTTTCTTTTCAAGTTATGATACATACCACATATACAAAAAGAGTATATATCATGCCCAGTTTAAAAAGGTGTATTATATTAATGTAATTTTATCTATAGTTTTGCACTATTAGTCTTGTTGCTCTGGGTGGGTCAGGTTAGCTAACAGGTTTAGGTTTTTCTTGATAGAGCTATAACATTTAGGTCTACATTATGGGCAAGAATCCGGTCTTTCAAAAGGACCCGTGTTATAACTTGATGTGCGTTGTTTTGTTATTTTTAAACTTGCTCAGGTCTTTGACATTTTGAACTCGGCGGAGTTAATCTGTCTGATGAGACACATACCCATTCCCAAAAGCTTCACTGTGGAGTGCATGGTTGCTGCAAACCAGAGCTGCAAGAATGCCAGCATCTGGCTGGGCTGCGGGCCCAGGGACAGAGGCCAACTCTCCCTTCTTGACTTAACTACTGAAAGACTTACTTCGGAGGTAAATCCAAATACTCTTTAAATTAGAGATGCCGTAGAAAACTTATTTTTGCAGATTATTATATTTTATTTTTCAATTACAGTTTATATTCAATATTATTTTTTATTAATTTCAGGTGTACTGCATAGTGATTAGATAACCTTAAATCATGTACTAGTTAAAAGTTACTTAGGAAGAAATGAAATAAGAGCTAGTTTAGGGGTATTATTAAATTGGCTTTCTGTTAGAACAAGAGTATTCATCTGAAATAAAATAAGTATGTGCTTGGTTTTGAAATTGCCGTATATGTGTGTCATAGGCCAGGGTCTCTAAAAACGGAGACTGAGGCAGAAAATCTTGTATGAGTGATTTAAGGAGAGAGAAATTTAAAAAAAATAATGTTTTTATTGATTTCAGAGAGAGGGAAAGTGAGAGATAGAAACATCAATGATGAGAATCATCAATTGGCTGCCTCCTGCACGTCGCCTACTGGGGATAGAGCCCACCAGCCAGGCTGTACCCTGATTGGGAATTGATCCGTGACCTCCTGGTTTATAGGTCAGTGCTCAACCACTGAGCCACATTGTTCAGGTGAAGAGAGAGAAACCTTTAAGAAGTATAGGAAGCCAGAAAGAGCAAGGGAAAATCTTAACAAAAATGTGTTTTTGAGGAAGGATACCCTCAGGCTTTATCCATAAGAAATTCTGGAGTATGAAAAAGAGCACAGATTTATCCCTCCTTGAGGCATGGGGGCCAGTCTTTATTCCCACATATCAACCAGTCATTGGCTACAATCTTCCCAAGGAGAGAGGAGGTGTAACTTTCCAGCCATTTCTGGGAGTTGGTGTAACCTCCTCAGCTAATGAAAGCTGAGGACAGATCTGTTGTGAAGGGTGCAACTCTGAGCTGTTAGCAGCCAACACCCAGAGCAGCTCAGGGCTCGTGCACCTGACTGAGAGAGGGGCTCTGGGCACAACTTCTGCAATATGTTGTATTGGCAAAAATAAAATAAATTTCTAGATTTTATAAATAACCTAATTTTTCACTGTTGTCTTGAAATACATGTTGTGCCTAAACATTACTTTTAAGATTGAAAAATCTCCTATTACTTCGATGGAGTGTGAAATGGTGAGAAATAACTTTCAATTTTCAGTTTTAGTTTCAGATGCAGTCTAGATAGGCAAAGCTTGTTTGCCAGTTAACTCATTTATTGTTGAAAATTAAATAAAATTGGTATTATTTTTAAAAGCAAAAGAAAGAAATTAAAAGAGTTCAGTATGTGGATGGCAGAATATTTTTTAAAAATATATTTTATTGATTTTTTTTTTACAGAGAGGGAGGGAGAAGGATAAGGAGAGGGATGAGAGAGAAACATCGATCAGCTGCCTTCTGCACACCCCCTACTGGCCGACGCTCTATCCACTGAATCAAACTGTTTAGGGCTGGCAGAATATTTTTCTTTTCTGTAAGTTCTGGTCACTTAAGCTAGACTCAGTTTCTTTAGAGTGTTTTTCTCTTCTTAACAGGAAGTTACCAATAGCAGAATACTGTGCCTCACCTTGGTGCACCTGCCTGTGGAAAAGGAAAGTTGGATTGTGTCTGGGACACAGTCCGGCGAGCTCCTCGTCATTAATTCCGAAGATGGGAAAAAGATGCATACCCTTGAAAAGATGACCGATTCTGTTACTTGCTTGCATTGCAATTCCATTTCCAAACAAAGGTACACTAGTAAATTTGACCACTGGGGTAAATTTACATATCTTTTAGATGACTTAATGTGTGGAAATTATTATAGCATCAGCAAAGATTGCTCAGTAGTAACATTTTCCCATTGTTAAAGGGAATTGTGGGAAGCCACCAACGTATTTATTTTTCTGTATACAGCTCAAACTGAGGCATTTATAAAAAAGGCCAATTATTTCTTTAGGCCACCAGCCTTGTTCCTGGTTTTAGCTTAGCTGTTGCTCCATTCTTTATCATTCCTCACATCAACTTACCTTTGCAGGACCTCTTCAAAGATGACCTCTTGTTTATTCTTTCTTTGAATATGTATATTTCAATTGCTTGTTCTGTGTCAATCTAAAACATATGGGTTAACTAACTATCAAATTGGGGAAAAAAAGTCCAATAAATGCATAAGTTGTTAGTAGGTGAAAATACTTAATCATTGTCAGTTGTCGGCATCTTATCTCAAAGGAAATTTTCTAAGTGGCATAAATTCAGGTGTGAGTAACAGGTTAGTTGCCGTAATCTATGTGGCGGGATGATTTCCAGGAGCCATTAAGATTATTGCACCCCAAAACTCCTCTTTGATAAGTCAGTAAATATTAGAAAATAAATATTAGAAAAATGTGAAGCCCAAGTGTTTGGCAGCTGAACATTTCATGTAAACCATGTTTGAAATTTTAAATTTGCAATTGTTTGAATATTGTCAAAGAAAATTTTCATCAGATGGAGTTATATAAGCAAAGAAGACTTTATTGAAGACTATTGCAATAGAGGAAAGAGAATGGACTCAACTCTGCTGAAATAAAAGCCAGTGGAATTATTTTTATTTTTATTATTTTAAACTAGAGGCCAGGTGCACGAATTCGTGCATGTGGTGGGGTTGGGGGCGTTCCCTCAGCCTGGCCTGCACCCTCTCCACTCCAGGACAT